GACATACTGGACTCTGACTCTGTTAAACCCTTGAACAAATTAAAGCCAATTTCAATATTTCTAATAGATTTTTACAAATACCTACAGATCCGTCATTTTCCTGTTCTCTCAGGAGAACAGGAAATTACGCACAAGATTATCAGACTTAGAAAATATGATTGTCATGACCAAATCTCCTAAAGGACTTCTCTCTAAGATATATAGTTTATTGTCTGGCTCTGATTCCTCAGGTTATGATGCTATGAAGCTGGTGTGGGAACATGATCTGGGGCTGACGTTTGATCCTGCAGATTGGAAGGAAATTTGTACTGGGGTTTTCCCCAACTGCACCTCGGTCTCTATACATGAGCAGAACTTTAAATTTTTCTACCGAACTTATTATACACCTGTTCGCTCCGGAGGATGTTTCCTGATGCTTCAGATCTTTGTCGTAAATGCAAAATACATAGGGGCACATTTATTCATTTGTTTTGGTCTTGCAATTGTATTAAAAGTTTCTGGGAAGCAGTTCATATGATGATACAAGAGATTATTGGTAAACAGTTCCCACTAACTCCCTCCTTCTGTCTTTTTAATCATACTTCAGAAACTCTATTTAATGCAGATACTAAACATTTGCTTGTAATCTTCTTATTTCTGGCCAAGAAATGTATACTACTGAGATGGACAGCACCGCAGGCCCCTACAGTTGATATGTGGATTTCACAAATCTCTGCTATTGTTTTAGTTGAAAAACTGACTCATGATCTTCATCAAAAGTCGGACAAATTCTGGAGGATCTGGAACCCACTGCAATCTTTCTTACAGAGACTGTAATCTTCACTTATTTTATTAATTAATTATTTTTTTTTTCTTTACATTTACTATATCATTCACTTGGCCCGAGAGTTTTTGACTATTTTAATCTTTGCCTGGGAATGTCTGCCTGTACTTTGTGTATGTAGGCTGTATGTATGTCTTTTTTTGTTGTAGTTTATCTATTTTTTTATTATTATTGTTATTATAATTTTTTTAGATTAATTAATTATTTCTTTTATTTTTTTTATTTTATGTTGACACTGCTGTGCTCCATGTTTGTTCGGGGTGGGTTCTTGTTTACTTGTGTTGGTGTTTACATATAGTTAAAAAAACCAATAAACAAAGATAAATAAAAAAAATGTGCCTCACGGCAAAAAACGGAGCTTTCGTTCTTGCTCTTTATTTTTATTTTTTACAGTCAGTTTTTTAATTTAAATAGTTTTTATTTTTCTTAAAAAACAAAAAAATTTTTTTTTCTTACCTGGATCTCCTTGGCGTGGGACTTGGATCCGGAGGACGACGAAGGCTGGACCAGGGTCCAGTACAGCCGGGCCGACGGAGAACCTGGCAACCCACCGACCGACAACGCCAGGCGCACCGTGGCGCACCGTACGGCCGGGATCCCCCCCGACAGCACTGGGGAGAAGGGCCACCGCAGCACGGCTGGGGCGCACCGCGCTACAGAGCTCCTCCACAGGAGCACCAGGGCCGGAGCTACGCCTCGGTGACCCGGAACCGCCGCCCCCGGAGCGACAACAGGCGTCCCCGTCCTCCACCGGTCCATCACCACCAGAACCGCCAACCACACCCCCGCGGCTGGAACCAGGGCGCAGCACCACGCCGAGGACGCGGTCAGCAGCAGCAGCGGCAGCGCGGCCAGCAGCGGCAGCGCGGCCAGCAGCAGCAGCGGCAGAGCGGTCAGCGGCAGCGGCTAGCGCCTGGAGCGCAGCGAGGAGGACAGGAACGCAGCGGCTACCAGCATTTGAGGACCCGCTCTTCACCACCAAGGTCAGAGCGCTACACAGGCTGCTCAAAGCCCTCCACCGCCTCCTCCTCCACCGCCTTCTCCCCCACCGCCTCCTCCTCCACCGCCTTCTCCTCCACCGCCTTCTCCTCCACCGCCTCCTCCTCCACCGCCTCCTCCTCCACCGCCTCCTCCTCCACCGCCTTCTCCTCCACCGCCTCCTCCTCCACCGCCTCCTCCTCCACCGCCTCCTCCTCCACCGCCTCCCTCCTCCCGCCTCCTCCTCCACCGCCTTCTCCTCCACCGCCTCCTCCTCCACCGCCTCCTCCTCCACCGCCTCCTCCTCCACCGCCTTCTCCTCCACCGCCGTCACAGGTAACCTGTGCGTCCCACCATGTGGGGACCTTAAATAAAGGTGAACTGGTCACTCGACCTAAAGTAAAAGTATGTGGTCCTGGGGACTCGAATGTGGGCAGGTTCCCGCCCTTCAGCAACCCGGACCTGCAGGTCGTGAGTTTCCCTGGGGCCAAGTGGGGGCACCTGACTCACCTTTTTAACAAGGCTCCGGTGTTCCAGCAGGTGGAACGGTTGATCCTCTCGGTGGGGATCAACCACAGGTCCCAGGTTGACAGGGAGAGGATTGTGCAGGAGATGGAGAATGCCCTGGAAGCAGCCAGGGAGAAGTGTCCACAGGCGGAGATCTTTGTCCCCGCCGTGAACTTCTCCCTGGCTCTTCCTCCATACCAGCAGGTGACCTTAGCTCTCCTTAATAGGAATATAGCGCAGCTTAGCCGCTACATCCCCGCGCTGAACAGGCGGGACTTCAGTGTTGCCGGGGACAACGTCCACTGGACCCCGTCCACCGCGGCTAAGATGCTGAACCACTGGGCCCAGTGGTTAAATTAGAGAGCCCCACTAGCCTGCCTGGGAAGGAGGGGCACTGTAACTTGTATATAATAATGTATGTAATCTGTCTAAGTCTTTCACCCTCAGTGATGCACAGTGCTCCCTTCTTACCAAGGGCTTGACCTTCATCCCCACACAGGTCAACAGTCTGAAGCAGGTCAAGATGCAAATGCGTTTTGACCTGCAAAAATACCACAGGAGACTGAAATTGGCCATTTATTATAAAGATGATGTTGATAATGTTAATAATACCCATTTGCCTTTCATGCCGGAGTCCGACTGGTCCCCTCCAATCGCCGCTCTTCCTCCTGAGGTGGGCAAATTAATTTCCAAGATCTAGACTATTTGGATAACAATTTAAATTTATTAAAACTAAACCAAATTTGAATTCGGCTGAAACTGGGGCACTAAAAGAACTAATCTCGAACAAGAACATCATAATCAAACCTGCTGATAAGGGCAGCTCCATAGTCATCATGGACAGGGAGCAATACCTGTGGGAGGGATACAAACAATTGAACAACCAAACATATTACAAAAAATTAGACGCCCCAATTTACACCGATACGGCCCCCCTTGTAACCAAAATTTTAGAAGACCTACACAAAAAATTTATCAATTCGAAACAAAAAACTTACCTGAGCGGCGCCCCCTGAGCCGAGAGCCAGGAGGTTTTACCTGCTCCCCAAAATCCACAAGGAGCCTGAAAAGTGGAGCTTGCCGCACGAGATCCCTCCTGGCAGGCCGATCGTCTCTGACTGCGGTAGCGAAACCTACCGCACAGCAGAGTTTATCGATCGCTACCTATACCCCTTATCAATTCGGCACCAAAGTTACATTAAGGACACCTACGATTTTGTGGAAAAAATTAAATTAATCTCTCTACCTCAGGACTCTATTCTATTTACTATTGATATTGACAGTTTGTACACTAACATTGATATAGATGAAGGAATTGGCTGCATTAAAAACATTTTTTTGAAATATCCAGATTCGAGGAGACCAGATCGAGAACTCATCAAATTATTAGAAATTAATTTAAAGAGGAATGACTTTATATTCGATGGCCAATTCTTTCTCCAAATCAAGGCCACGGCCATGGGGAAGAAGTTTGCACCAGCTTATGCAAACATCTTCATGGCTCAGTGGGGCCGGGGCCCTTAGTACATGCAGGAAAACACCCCTGCATTACTACCGGTACCTGGATGACATCTGGGGGGTCTGGACACATTCTGAAGCCGAATTCCAGGAATTCCTCCAGCACCTGAACACATACAATCCATCTATCACAGTAAAGTCCACTACCAGCGTTAAAGCGGTCAACTTCCTGGACACCACCACATATAAAGGAGAAAACTTTGACACAACTCATAAATTAGAGATTAAAGTTTTCTTCAAACCCACAGACACACATGCTCTGCTATTCAAAACCAGCTATCATCCAAGGCACACTTATGCTGGCCTAATCAAATCACAGCTCCTCAGATTTCACAGAATTTGTTTCACAGAAAACAGACTTTAAGGAGGCAACTAGGATTCTGTTTTCTGCTTTAAGTAAGAGAGGATATTCCAGATCTTTCCTGAGCATGCAGGAAGAACTTCCTTGAGTCCAGACCCCCGATTCATCACCAATGGTTCCTCTGATCACTACATTCTCCTCCTCAGCAGGACAGTTTGTGCATAACATCAAGCAGAATTTCACCAAATTCCAATCAGACACCTCTTTGCTGCAAAATTACAGAATAATCGCGGCCTACAAAAGGAACAAGAACCTGAGGGATTTCCTCGTCCGTGCTGAGGTTCGACCTTTGAATGCACCAAAGGTCAGGGGTCAGAGTGAATTCTTTAAACAGCTGCACTGGGTACAAAACAGACTCAAAACACAATTTTCAAATTAGACCCATCAGGAAACCCCAAATCAAAAAATTGTGTTTTTAACATGTCAAATCTGTAAGATCCAGTATGTGGGTGAAACGGGCAACAGCCTCCTTACCCGTTTCACCCAGCATAGATATAATATTCAAAAAGAAAAAAGGACTCATGTACCCTTAGCAGCACTTTATACGCCACGGCTGGGATGCACTTTCGGCCTCCGTGCTGGAATGCAACCCAGCCTGGTCCTCAGCCCAGAGGAGAAGGGCTGAAAGACTGTGGATCCACAGGCTGGACACAGATCCCCAAGGGTCTGAATGAGAGTAGGCTCCGCGTGGGGACTCCTGGCAGGACGTGCCCGTGCATCCTGGGGGAGGGGAAGAAGGAGGGGCTGAAGGAAGGGGACCTGGAACCTTCTGGGTCCCTGACCTTTGACCCTGAACCCAAACCCCAACCCCAACCCAGTCTCTCTTCCTCCTCTTCAGTCCTGGACTGGATTTAGTGAAATCCAGGACGGGGATCTGAGGACCAGCTGGATCCTAAGGAAACAAATATTCTGTCTGTAAATGACTGAACCGACCTGTGAAGGTCTGGTGAATGATGAAACCAGGGTGCAATCTGGCCCTCAAGGGCCCCTGAAGACGAGTATCAAAATAATCTCATAATCCTGTTACTATGATGATGAGAAAACAGTTCACAACGCTGCTTTTTAGTCCACTATATTGTCTGTTTGTTTGGCTAATATTCATTAAATGTGTGTGTCACATGATGTAAAAATAAAAAATGAAAGAAAAGACACTCACACTGTCTCCAATATGATGATTGTCTGTGCCAGTTTCCAAGGCTTTTTTGCTCACTTTTAATATTAACATCTCTGACTCAAATCCAGGCTGAGATGGTGATTCCTCTGCAGCTGCAGTCTAGAAGAGGAGAAGAAATATGTTTATTTTAACGGCTAATTTCTATTATATGGTCTCAACAGTTTTATACATTGTTGGAAATTTCACATTTTTCACTCCATCCATCCATTTTCTGTCCCTAATGAGGCCGGGAGTTGCTGGTGAGAGGCGAGATACAGCAACGCAGAAATAAACAGGACAAACACACACACACACCTCGGGAGAATTTAGAGAGACCAATTTACCCGACAGTCACGTCTTTCTGCAAACTCTGTGCAGAAAGATCCCAGGCCGGGAATCGAACCCAGGACTTTCTTGCCTCAAGGCAACAGTGCTACCAACTGCGCCACTTTTCAACAATGTAATAAATATTGTTTTGTAGATCAATTTGTCTGTTAAAATGTTCAACAGAAAATAGTGAAGTATCATGCAATATGCAAATTTTGAGCTGAAAATTTTTTCACTCCAGTTTGATTTCATACGCCCTAAAATCAATGTCATTAATAAGAGCATGTTAAGATCTGTCCTGCACTAAGCAGATTGTTCAAATTGCATTTAGAAAGGGCCAGAACCCTGCAACTTTTACATTTGTTCCTTGTAATACATTCTTTAATTAAATGGTCAAACTGCCTCATTAATTCAGTCCAGCTCTACAAAGTTCTGCTGATGAGTGCATGTTTGAGCCAGGTGTGTTGAAGCAGAGGTGAAGGAAACCGGCCCTGGAGGAACGCAGTTTGAGACCCAGACGTAGCGAAACTGTCCGAGCTGTGATGCCTCAATAGTTAGGTTTCTTACATTGATGGAAATGTAACATTTTTCAATAACAAAACAATAGTAAATAACGTTGTTTTGTGCATGTCATACATGTTTACTACTTTTAACTGTCACCTATAAAACACAAAATAACAGAGACACTTAAAAACAAACGGAGTGGAAAGCGGAACCAAAACATGCGAGTCGGCTTCAGTTTCTCCCCGGCGTGTAAACAACTACGGAACGCAGCGGAAGAAGGTCCATCGTGCAGAAAGGCTGACCATGTGCTAACAGCGTTAGCATTCTGCTGCTACGTCTTCTCGATTTACTTCCCAACATGGAGAACATTACAGACGGAACATGGGGACACTTTACCTGTCCAACTAAACGAGAAGATTTTACAAACGCTTGAGGAAATGAAATTTACCTTCATGACACCTGTACAGGTAACTTTCATTAGCCTTAAATCCTTGTTTCAATCCATGCTGCCCTGAATCTCCACCTGTCTGACTGATGGATCTCTTTTCGTTGTAGTCGGCTTGTATTCCGCTGTTCATGAACAATAAAGACGTTGCTGCTGAGGCGGTGAGTGTGAACAAGTTGTTTAAAGAGGCCGAGACGGAGCAAGAACTAGAACTGAACCAGTAGGATTTACTGACACGTTGATTCTGGGTCACGAAGAAATCCAAGCTAACGTGATCCAGGAGACGTCGAATGTGTTGAGCGAGTTGTTACAAAAATGACAAATGAATAAGTACAAGGTACCAAAAACATCTGCGATGTCTCTGTCATGAATGGAAGTATATCTGATGAAGGAGCGCTGTGATGATGATGATGATGATGATGATGATGATGATGATGATGATGATAAACTCACAGCAGTAGTGGTCATTTGAATCACTTTCTTATTAGGACAAAAAGTTGGAACAGGCCTGTTCGTAGACGCTCTGTATCCAATCGGACAGAAGAATTCAGTTTGCACATGTGCAGAGCTGACAGGTTCATCCTCTAAAGGGCTTGCAGTTGCTATTGTTCTTCAAAGTTCTACAAAGTTTTAACTCAAGCAGGGTGAATAAGTGCATGCCACACTTATCAGATTTTCAGCTGCAAAAATTCAGAATGATGGACTTTTTTTATCTAACCGAAATCTGAATGAAATTTATAAAGGTTTATGGTCACATGACAAAATATGAAACGTTCAAGAGATGCTTTGAAGTTGCTCTGTGTGTTTAACGTGATTTGGCTCCCTCTGCTGGCGGCTGAATCAATATTCACCTTGGATCCAACAGTAGATATTAAATATGATAGATGGTCAAACTGAGGATATAGACGTGTTGTAATTATCAAAATTATGCAAAAACAGTTATTTGGAAAAGATCAGGAAGTTGTGCTGCCATGACAACCGGTAGTTTCTTAAGGCGTTTGCTGTTTTGCTTCAGGTCACCGGCAGTGGGAAGACTTTGGCTTTCGTCATTCCTGTTATAGAGCTGCTGCTGAAGCGCGAGGAGAAACTCAAGAAGAAACAGGTAACCATGACGGCAAAAAAACACGGCTACTTTAGTCTCTGCAGTATTGTTATTTATCTTTTTTTGGATGCTGGGAGGTTTGCTGTTGTGTCGGATCCGCTGAAAAGTTCAGGTGTTTTGTGCAGGTCGGTGCTCTGGTGATCACTCCCACACGAGAACTGGCCCTGCAGATCAGTGAAGTGATGGGAATGTTTATCCAGAAGTTTTCCAGAGTTTACGTGAGTATCTATATATAAAAATTTAAAAAAACTCCACAGAGTCAAATATTGTAGATTGGAATTGTTTCAAACTGAGCTGGCAGATTTAACTACAGGCATTTGTTTTTTTTTTTTTTTAATCAATTTGCACTCAATAATCAATTTCACCTTTTGGTTCTCAGGCAGATTTGCTGATTGGTGGCAGCAACCCGGCAGAAGACGTGGAGAAGTTTAAAGAGCATGGGTACGCCACGGATTTCAGTCCGACTTTAACTGGATGAAAAGCTGGCAATAAATAGACTTCCTCTGTTTTTAATGGTGTATCACTTTCTTCTGTTAGACTTCATCATTTGAACAAAATGCTTCTGAGTAAGTTTTCATTTTAATAAGTAACCGAGGGCAAATATTTTAAATTTTTATAAGAAAAATGAAAGCTGTATCCCAGTGGTGGCAACACAATTAATCCACTAATAAGGACCTGATGTTTTGTTTAGCTCCTTAGAGTTTTTTGCTAACATTGAAAACATTTGTTCCAAAGAATCACTTTCTCAAGAGCAACCATACAGGTAGGTGTGTCATAATAGCCACTTACCTGCGTGTCAACTATCGCTCATTGTTGAGAGCAATAGTCTGTGTTGTAACACACATCGGGTAACAGCATTTACTGCATTAGCTTCCACGCATACCATCTTATTGTAGTGCTTTAGCTTGTGCTAAATACCATCTTGTTTTACTGCTTCAGCATTAGCTTGTGCTAAATACCATCTTGTTTTTACTGCTTTAGCATTAGCTTGTGCTAAATACCATCTTCTTTTACCACTTTAGCATTAGCTTGTGCTAAATACCCTCTTGTTATACTGCATTAGGTTCTCCTAAATCTTGACAGACATTTTTAGCAATAACTTCTGCTAAATATCCTGTTAAGCCACTTTAGCATTAGCTATTGCTAAATACCACCTTGTTATAGCACTTTAGTATTAGCTGAATTAATGTTTAAGATTAGCGCTGTAGTCCTCAGTGTTAGTTGGGAACATGTTAGAAAGCGACTGTCGTGCTGTAACGTTCGTTTCACTTTTTTTTTCAGCAGCAACATTGTGATTGCGACGCCGGCCGCCTGGAGGACATGTTCAGGAGGAAGTCAGAGGGGCTGGAACTGGCCAGCGCAGTCAGGAGCCTGGATGTTCTGGTTCTGGATGAAGCTGACCGGCTGCTTGACATGGGCTTTGAGGCCAGGTACGAATCAGCAGGAAACATTTTACAGTCAGGATGGAGGAAAGATCCTATTCCAGGATGAGTGCACACCTTTAAAAAGTCTTAAATTTATGTATCTAATTAAGGCCTTAAAATGTCTTAAAGTCATTTAATGTGTTGTGGCAGGACTGTTTAATCTGTTATATTCTATGTATTTTTTTTTTCTTGCACTAATTTTCTGTCAGGTTAAGTTTGAGTTACCTGCACACATTTTCATTGTGCTCCGTGACTCAAGGTGGTTGTGGCTATCAGTAACTAGCTGTCAATATATACGCCCTTGCTAACTAGCAAGCTCATCATGGGGAGGTATAAATTTATCTCTTATGTGCATTCCTAAATTTAGTTTATAATGGTCTCAAAAGTCTTAAATTTGAGTTGATGAAACCTGCAGTAACCCTGTATTAATAATACAGTGTGAACATTAAAAAAACATGCAATTTGGCCTCAATTACATTAATCAACATTTCTGTCAGGCAAAAGTTTGAGTGGTTTGCATACATCGTCTACAAGATTACCAGACAAGCTACTAGTAACTAGCTGCTGACAACTAGCTTTTTTATAACCATCAATTGCAAATTTGCTGAACATTTATCATCTTTATTACATTCTGTCATTATCCAGGTCTTTAATTTATAATGGTCTTAAAAAGTCTTAAATTTAGTTGGTGAAACCTTCAGTAACCATGTAGTTTCAAATACAGTCTGGATGTGTTTATTGGTTTGTTTGTTTTTTATTCTCTTGGTTTTGAACTAAATCTGCTCCTAGCCAATCAAGTTGCTCCTGATTGTTCTGCATTTCACCCCATTCCCTCCCACGTCCCCCCAGCCTGAACAGCATCCTGAGCTACCTGCCCAAACAGAGACGGACAGGCCTCTTCTCAGCCACCCAGACCCAGGAGCTGGAGAAGCTGGTGAGGGCCGGCCTCAGGAACCCCGTCCGCATCACGGTCAAAGAGAAGGGTCAGGCCGCCTCGGCCACCCAGAAGACCCCGGCCCGCCTCTCCAACTACTACACCGTGAGTGACGGAGCGAACAGCCCGCCGTTCAGCCCACGAAGTGAAGACGGCGACGACAAATCACAATCGTGTGCTGTCCTTTCAGATGTGCAGAGCACAGGACAAGTTCAACAACCTGGTGGCTTTTCTAAGGCAACACAAGCATGAGAAGCAGCTGGTCTTCTTCAGGTTTGATTGGTTCATTCATTTGTGGTTTTTGTTTTGGTTTAATGTTTTTTTTAATTTCTGGTTGTGTTTTATTTAGAATGTTTAATCAATCACTAAAACAAATTGTGAGTTGCAGCCCTCATACAGATTCACATTTTATCAGTTTTTGAATGATAAGAAATCACTTGATATTTCTGCACTATTTAGCAGAAGGTAGTCTTCTTCCTTCCTTCTGTTTTACTATTGTCATCATTAGATGATTATTATTTTAGTGTCATTATTGTCATCATTAGCTTTTTGTTATGTAAGACAGATATACTACATGATCTACATTATCAAGGTGTCTGTAATCATTCCGATGCTGTATGCGCAGTTATTCTTTAGTCATTAATAGTAATATTATCATGTGTAGGTTCTTTAGAATAGTTAATTGATCACATATTAACACCAACATATGTTCTGAATAACAAGTTCCTGCAAATTAATGCATCTGGAAGCGACACATTTCATTAAACTGAGATAAGGGGCAGGATTAAATAAATGTTAACTTCTTTTCCCCCATTTCCAACAGTAAAGTATTGGTAAGCTAGTTGTTTTGTTCCTGGTTATGCATGCACACGTTTTCTCTTACCCGTTGTCCTTGTTGCTTCTAAAAGCACCTGCGCCTGTGTGGAGTACTTCGGCCGAGCCCTGGAGTCGCTGGTCAAGAAGGTCACCATCCTCTGCATCCACGGCAAGATGAAAAATAAGCGCAGCGGCATTTTTTCAGACTTTAGGGCCTTAAAGAGGTAGAAATCCGCCCCCCGCCCCGCAGTAAGTCTGTGCCGTCACGTGTTTGTTTTTAAACGTGTTGTGACGTTGCAGTGGGATCTTGGTGTGCACCGACGTCATGGCCAGAGGCATCGACATCCCCGATGTGAACTGGGTTCTGCAGTACGATCCCCCCAGCAGCGCCAGGTTGGTGCAGTTAGTTTAAAAAACACAAACAGAAGTTGTCCTTTTTAAAACAATATATATATGTTGCAGAATGAATTATTTTATTGGCTTAAACATTAAAACAATGTTACTTTTCTAACTACTTGGCTCCAACCATTTTTCCCTGTCTGCTCTTTTTTTTTTCCATCAGTGCTTTTGTGCATCGATGCGGGAGAACGGCGCGTATCGGTAACCATGGCAACGCCCTCGTCTTCCTGCTGCCAATGGAGGAACCCTATGTCAACTTCTTGTCCATCAACCAGAAGGTGAGTCTGAAGTTGGGTCCTTCAGCGGTGTTCATAGCCGTCAGCAACAAGACCTTTTGGATCGGCCATGCAGGCGTTCATAATCTGATAATCTGATGATGGATGGTTCACAATAGTTGTCTAGAACTCACTCAGATTATTCAGCTCTAACATTACTCAGCATGAAGTCACTCAGAGGAGGATCAGAGCTACTGTGATATGAAATCCTCAGAAATCAAATCCTGAGTGAGAGTAAAGCAGTTTTTTTTTTCCCTATTTTTCTCTTGCTAATGGTGATCTGCTACCCTTTGAGAACATGGGAAATTT